AACCAACAGGCATATTACCATGAAAGATTTTTATGCCATGAAAGTATAAAGTCACTTTTCTTAGCTAGATAATATTTAAAGAAATAGGTATTATTAAGAGGAAACTGGTGTGGTGTGGTTAGTATACTAAAATAMAATTTTATAGGAACGATCATAACTCATAAATGTATTCAAAAGAGAGTTGTTACGTCATCTTATGATGGAAACTTAGTATGTAAAATAAATCCAAATACATTATGCGCAAGATTTGATGAGCATTGTCATATAATTTATCTTTGGTATACTAATATTATAAAGAGGAATGATTTGATTGTTTGTTTGTAATGAATAGCATACGAAACTACTTCACGTATTTTAAAAACTCTTTCACCTTTAGGAACCTACGCTATCTCCGATGAAYATARGCTATATTASTACTATGAGCAAAAATTAGTAAAACTTTGTTCATAATTTTAATTTATTCTTTAAAATATATGTCATCTCTCTCAAARTAATCCCCCTTGGTCACAAAACACTTGTGTCAACGCTTTTTCCAATCCTCACAACAGCTAAAGTAAATTTCCGGAATAACCTTCAATGCGGAAGGCAGTCGATTGAGACTGCTGAATAGACAGACGTCACTCGGATTAGGCGAATTCGGTGTTTGCGGTACGATATTGGTTGCAAATTTGGCGAAAAACTCACAAAGAATCAATGCAGTATGCGACGGTCCATTATCGTGGTGCCCAAATCAAGAGTTGCAGGCCGATAATTCCGTCMTCTTTTTACGAAAGGCTTCGCGCAAACGACGCATAACACTCAATTAGTATTCCTTGTTGACAGTTTGGTGGGTCAGAGGGAATTCGAACTGCAATACATTCAAAATCGAAGATAATTATCAACATAAATTTAAGACGATTGATCGTCTGTTTCCGGGTCGTAAGCATTGATCCAAGACTCGTCGCCAGTAAAAACACGTCTTACGACATCCAGGCAGTCGGAAAGCGTTCACAGATGTTAACTCGCGAAGTCTTTCAAAAGAACTTAGTGATCGTGCTTTAACTTTTCTTAGGAACCCAAATGAACTTTCAAAATTGTTATCATTGATCATTCCGATATTCCAACGATGCCGGTAAGATCTCTGACTATTAATCGTCGATTYTCTAGCACCAAAATGACAATAAATCACCCGTAGCTTTTTATTGATATAGCGTTATATATGTACCTGTAACCTATATTTATCTTACAGGGCTAGCATATCATAGCAAATTGGCACACATAACCTCCTTCTTTTGTGCCCAAAAAATAAGGTGATATTTGGATTTGGAGAATTATTTTTTTTTTTAGGTTGGTAGTACTGTCAGTCATATTTATGTCAAATTTCATGTCAATATATTAATTAGTGTTTGAGATACGTGTCGCTTTGTGAGCTGCTAAAAGTGAGTTTTTCATTTTTTGCGATGTCGAAATTTGTTGAGCAAAGAATTTGCATTAAATGATGATTTCGGCAAACATTCAACCCATATCGTTCCGCAAACCACCGTATTCACCTGATCTGGCGCAATGCGACTTCTGGCTGTTCACCAAGCTCAAAAGACCGCTCCGGGACACCATTTTTATACGATAGAGGAGATTCAAGCCGCATCGAACACGGAACTGAAGGCCATCCCGGAAAGTGACTACAACCAGCGTTTCGAAGATTGGAAAATMCATTGGCATAATGCACTACATCTATTGGGGATTACTTTGAAGGGGATGAAATTGATTTGGAAGAATAAATAAAGAATTTTCAAAATAAATACAATGYCACCTTATTTTATATATATTATATTTTTTTTGCACAGTATATAAACTACTGTTTGACTCCTTCGTTTTCTGAAAATCGATCGTTATGTGATGAACAKCATTTAAACTGTAGAGCTTCTTGGTTTTTGTATTAAAACAAAAAAAAAGAAAAGTGCATTGTATATCATTAACTATATTTTGCCCAGCAGGAATCGATATAGAAATATTACAAAGTGTTCTGCATTATTTTAAATCTTAAAATAGCTGCTCTTTACTCGTATTATTTTAAATGTTTATATATACTCTTTTACACATTTATATTAGGCGTCTTCGATTCACTTCTTGAAGCGTGCTCGCTCGTTCTTCCATCGCTATTTGGATTTGGGCATAATTCAACCATTGCTTGTTCTATTCGCCAATTTCCAAGGTATGGCGAATCGAAGACAACAATTAACATTTCTGCATATTAGGCTCATGCAATTAATAGTCGAGTCTTTATGGAGATTAGATGATTTATTTATGGCATATAATCAAASCTGCACTTGCAACCGACCCAGCAATGAGTAGTGCTAATATATTTACATATTTAGTAGAAATTGAGCAACAAATTAATGTAAATACCAYTTGATTGAAATGAAGAAAAAATTTAAAGAATTTAAATTGCACATACTTTCAAATGTAGAAAAAATGCGATTTTTTTGCATAACTTTCTGAGAAGGGTGCTTACATACATACATACATGTATGTACTATTATTATTACCATTGCATTTTAATTGTAAACTAAAACGAAGGGAAACATTTCTGAAAGTTCAAATTCTAATGTAATTTCCAGCAGGAAAACCAAGATAAATCGAAGGTTAGTTACAATAGCAAAGAAAGCTKTAACTCCCCCTCATTTTGCATTGAGGAAGCAAGAAAAACAATATCCTTGTTGCACCRAGAAAAGGAAACTTAAAGTATATTTATTGTGGTAGAATTGACAGAACTAGCACAAAGTATGCAAATTATACCGCAAAACAGACAAAGGAAAAGTTTACTTAAATAGAAAGGAACGAAGGGGTGATGTTCATATTACATTACTGTTAATTTTGTTGATTTATGATTTGTKTATACATACACATATGCTGATAGTTTTCTCAGCATTGCCAATTGGAGGCAAAAACCATGACCTAACGTTTTCTATTAATAACGGTCACATCTATTCTGCGAATACAATGGATTAAGTGGTCATAAATAGAAGGAGTTCAGGTGTARGGTAGGAGCTTTAACTGTTAGTTAGAGATAGAGAAAGGCAGTGGGCATGTCAAATACACTTGTGGCTTTTTTAGATTTCTTATGAAAGTTTCCTTGTTTTGATGTGGTATAAGCATAAATTAGAAAGGGTGGGTCTAACATATATAACTAGTTCAGAATATTTTTTAAAACGAAATTGATTATTTTCTTAACGGTAAAACCTACTGCATTCACCATGYGCCAAATCTTGGAGAAGACCCATGAAAAGAGAATAGAGACATACCACCCCTACGTCGATTTTAAAGTTGCTTTTGATAGAATGCAAACGCGGCTCTGTGCCGCGATGTCTGAATTTGGTATTCCTGCAAAACTAACATGGACCTYAACAACCGCGCCGTTAGTTCTACTTTATCCAAACTGGACAAATAAGCGAAACAAATGGGTCTGGTAGTGAACAAAGGCAAGACGAAATAGAGGAAGAGGAAGAGCTCCACTCCGTTGGAAAGACCAGGTGGAGAAGGACCTGGCTTCGCTTGGAATCTCCATTTGGTGGCACAATGTGAAAAGAAGAAACCACTGGCGCGATATTGTTAACTCGGCTATAATCGCGTAGGCGGTGTCTACGCCAGTAAAGAAGAAGAATATGAGTACCTGCATTGAAAAATATTCAAACAGATATTAACTTTATTGGATAATTCGAAATTAACCTAAGCACTTCTAGCGCTCATAAGAGAGGCGAAAGAGTGTTAAGACCTCAGACGTATGARCTCCATATTTGACCGAAAATTTAATCGATCACCATATTTGATTAGATGTTTTGTTAATTTTTTTGGTTGTTATCTATTTAAAAGTGTTATTACTAAAAACAATCTTTTTGCAAGAGAGGTGACTACGGTGAGCATCAAACCAACCAATTAAGAGGACACGCTGCTCAAAAAGAGAGGCAACCAAAACAAATGGCCGATATTGTTGCAGTTTCACGTTCGAAGTTCATCAATCATCGCTGGCTTGGTGGCATAGACCATAGACTTGACGTAGCACTACAGCAAATAATCTAATGGCGTCAAATTGCAAGACCGAGGCGACTAATTGACTAGGACATTTCGTGAGATCGATTGTGACATTCGCTCTGTGGCTTKTGGCGCYGTCGTTTTGGAACCACTTATTGTCCAAGTCCATTTTATCCAATTAGGGACAAAACTATTCGGTTATCAGTGAGCGGTAGCAATTCCCATGCACAGTAACGTGCCAGTTTTGATGATCATGGAAGAAGTACGGCCCAATGACACCGCTGGCCCATAAACGGCACCAAACCGTAAATTTTTCGGGATGCAATGGAGACTCGTGGAATACGTGTGGATCTCTACCTGACCAATAACGACCATTATTAACGAAGTCATTCAGCCAGAAATGATCCACATCGCTGAAGATGGTTTTCGATGAAATTTTAATCATTTTCAATTTGTTGCTCAGCCTAATTCACGAACCTACGACACTTCTGGGGATCACACGGCTTCAGTTCTTGCGTAAATTTCATCTTGTAAGGTCAAAATCTTTTCGCAAAATTCGCCATAACGACGTCACAGAGATTCCCAACGCKTCAGAGCACAGTGTGAGAGACGCATTGCTTGATGCGCTAGCAGTAACAATATTCTTGGCACTACGGGCACTTCTTTGTCTCACTGGCACGGCAGCATTTTGTACTGTGCCTTTGGATTCAAATTCTTCCACTAGACGCTCAATTGTTGATCTGACAGGACGATTATAACGGTCATAAATTGGACATAGCGCTCTTAAAGTTGAGGCCACTGACTCCGAATTTCAGTAGAAAATTTTAATAATTGAAAAACCCGTTACATAAAATAATACTCGCTCTTTCGAATAAACTATTAATATAACAAAAAATTAACAGTAGACATATTTAAAAAAATATTTAGAACTATATTTAGCTACAAGAGAAGACATTACTCAAAAAAAGACATATTTTTTTATATGCTTTCAGCATGTCAAGCCAAATGTTCGTAATCGTTTGCTTCGCCACCCTTTTGATCGCCGCTGCGCAATCCAGCAACGCTATGGCTGTGCCACCATTCTGCCAATCGGGCATGGTCGAGGATATGCCACCACATATCCAAAAAGTCTGCTCGGCACTCAACAATTCGGAACAATTGGCTACAGCGTTGAAATCGTACTTGAATAGCGAGGCGGCAGGTAAAATAATTCTTTTTGAGATTTTTGAAAATATCATATTATAAATACTTATGCGCTAAATGTATGCTCTCACACATTAGCTCTGCTGACCGATCAGGCGCCCTTGAAGCGTTCCGATGTTGATCACGTTTTCTTGCGTTTCGGTAAAAGGCGTTAAATTTCCAGCGCCGATAATGTTGCCACCGCCACCAATACATATTAACCAACAGTTGACCGTTGATGGACGCTATGATTTGCAACACAAACACACAAACACTCAAGCACGACCGCCATGTGAATAACCAACAATAAMAAACGACCAATTATTGCAAATGAAAATTAAAGAAATTCGCTTTAATTTAATCAAAATTATCTAACCATAAAATAAATTAAATATTATAGCAAAATTTTATGGCAAAATACAAAATGCGAATACTAAATTTGCAAACAAAAATATTTTAAAATAAAAAAAAAATATGAAATTTATTAAACTAATTATTAAAGTAAACAAATATTTTGTATGTATGTATAACACAAATTCTTAAGTTGATCTCTTTATAAAGAATTACAATTTTCTGTACTTGTGCATCTGGAATATATGCTTATATATAATATATGCGTATACACGTCAGAAATGTTGGGAGCTTGTAAAAATCGAAAAAAAAACTATAAAACAATTTTTAAAACTAATTGTTGTTTTTATTGTTTATTGTGTTAGGCGAAATGAATACACAAATAAAGCTACGCATATTGGACAACCTAATTAAAAATAAAAAAAAATTAAAAATATATTTACTAAAAATATATAAAATAGCACGAGGGAGCGGAGACCGCAGATATTTATAAATAAGCAAAAACATATACATACATATACTTGTATATATATCAACGTTTGTACTCACTATTAAAAGGCATCATTGAACGCAAAAAATTTTACATTTAACATTTTTGGCGCATATAATGAATATGTATGTAGTTATAAGTTATCGGAAATAATAATGCAGACCCGCAGATAAAGATGTATTTTGCAACAACTAAATATAAACATATGTATATAAATGTAATAAAGCTATTATTTTCAATAAAGTGAATTGTTTCCTCTSAAATATTACAAACAAAACAAAAAACGATTTTTATTTTGGTAGAGTCACTAGATAATCGATAGAAACCCACAGACCGAGAGTATATCTGACAAGGAAAAATTTTCCAAAAAACCATTCGTTCGTAGACAAATGTATGGAGAATAACGACCAGCTAGGAAGGCTTTTTGTTTCTCTCAAAATGCTTTAAAAACAATGTAGTTTATAAGTTATGCCATTTAGGCATTTTTTACTGTCTACTTTGTTGTTGTACTTGTAGTATTAAAATAAGGAAAAAAAACTTTATATCCGCTGCACCGAAATTAGAATACCTTTCAGAAATAAGAAAGTTTCCATACAAGCACTTGATTTTGATCAGTCAGTTCTTACGTTAGCTATATGGTATAGTGATCTGATCTAAAAAAAAAATCGAAAGTTGTAAAGCTGACTCCGATAATGTTCTAGGCCAATTTTCGTGAATATATCGCGTCAAATCACTAAATCTGTACCAATAATTAATAAATTTACGTATAATTCACTTCGAATATAATATTTTCTTAATTCCGCTAAATATGAAAAATATAATATTAACTAGAAAATTGTTCCCTTTATATATATATAACAGATCAGCTAGACATGAATAATATATGGATAWCAATACTATACACAATATATTTTTAGGATTAACACTAGTAAATATTAAATATTTGACTACATATTGATGTGGTAAGTAGATATTAAAAATAATAGTTTTAATTTGGAGACGATGACATCAACACAAACATAACCCAAAAGTGCAAGAGGCCAACATACATGAGCACAAATATGCGCATGAGCGGATAACGTCGCAGGAAGGCGCCCAAACGTATACCAGCAGAATCGAGTGAAGAGTAGACACGTTTAACACGACGAGCTACACGATTGTCGAAAGGATTCTCACGCATCAGAAGTGGAAACTGTGCTTTGACTACAAATATAAATAAAGTGTAAAATAATAATATGCAAATCTATGTAAATATAGGTTTACATGCAGGTACTTACTGTCATCAGTTGTATTGGAGAGCAATGAATTACGCGAAACTGGCTTATTATTATATGCATATTGCTGCTGCAGTTGATCTTGCATTTTTTCCAGTTGTATGCGTAAAGCATTCCGGTCGGATGWGATACGTTCCACAGTTTGTTGTTTATCCACCAATGTTTGTGTGAGCACCTTAATGCGTTCATCAAAGGTATCTACCGCTGCACCATCTGCGACATGCATTGTTGCGTTGCGCCTTTGCACCTCAGCACGTAGCTTTTCTAATTGTGCATCCTTTTCTTGTAGCCGTGTCGCAGCTGCAGCCATTTGATTACTGAGCTGCTGTCGTAATTTTGCCAACTCTTGCGCTTGTATACGTTGTTCTGATTCAGTTGCGAGTAAACGTTCACGTTCTGTACGCAATTCTTTTCTTAAGGTTTCCTCTGCGGCGCGTGTACTTGCAATATATGTGGTGTGTTGTTCATTAACCATTTGCCAATCACGTCGTAATTCTTCTAATTGCATACGCAATGTACGACTTTCATCTACGGTTTGCTGATGTTCATGCTTTAAAGCGTCCAGCTCCATTTGCACCAAACGCAAATCATTTTCATCTTCGCTTTTTGTTGCTGAGCCAGCCGACACGCCATTTGCTTTTAGTTCGGCTATAAGATTGTCCTTCATTTGCAATGAGTACTGCGCTTTATGCCGATATTCTTGCAGTTCCTTYCGGAGCTGCTCTGTTTCCATCATTTGCATTTGTAATTTATGCGCCGTCTCCAAGTACTCTTGTTGCAGTTTAGCTAAATTAGCTTCGAGCTCTGAAATGGTGTGGGCATATGCATTGTTAGCATCCTGTGCTTTGCTCTGTTCATATTGTGCTTGATCTCGCTCTTCGGTTAAACGTTGTAATAGTGTCTCCAAACCTTGTATTTTTGTTAGAAATGCAGTTTTTTCATTATCACGGTTTATTCTTGTCAAACGTGCTTTCAAGTCGTCACGTTCGTTAGTAATTTCGTTTAATGCAATTTTAAATGCCATCAACTCTTGACTTTCATGCGTTCCAGTTAGAAGAGTTCCTTCAGTAGCCACCTTTTTCAGTAAGCCATGTTGCGGACTTGTTTCCTCCACTTCAATCGCCACAGCATCGGGGCGCGAATTAATGGAACTGCGTCGTGAAGAGACAGCAGAGTTTATGTGCCATTCAACTTTATCACTTGCTTCTACTGATTCAGGCAATGCAGTGCGATATGAAGCATTTAATACCTCTGTATCACCTTCTACTGATCTACTCATATTGGTAATAAGATTGCTTTTTGTTTTSATTGGGGAAAATGCTGTTTTCAATGACAATTTACTATTGGATAAGTTGCGTCGCACCGTTTCTAAAGCACTACCTTCGCTACTATCACCATCGTCACCTGAGGTGGCTGCTACTTGCAAAGCTGTAGCGGCATTTTGATCTATCTTATTTAAAATGTTTTCGGCTTTATCTGCTAAGCCCGATATCCAAGCCATTTTTGTGTTGTCGTGGCGTTAATTAGTGAATTTTTGTTTTTATTTGAAAGTAAACAAAATATGTTTTCGCTTTGACACTATCAAATTGTTCTTTTTTTATTGCAGGTGTCAAAACGGTTCTTAGGAGAATCAGCTGATTTTAGGAAATATTTAAATTTATATACTAATGGTGCAGTTAGACTTCACCGTATAGGTAACAGACGTAGTAGAATGAGCAAAAGTTAGTCCAGCATTTCATTATACAGTGGTTGCCATACTTCTTGGTTAGCTTTTATTTATATGACGGTAAGGTCTATTTAGTGATTGCGCAGTTACACCATTCAAATAAGTTTTCTGTCTAAAATGTTTATTAAATTTTTCTTATTCGACATTAAGAGTCCGAAAAGTAGCAGATATTATTTAGTATAGGGTTTTTTCGAATTTCTGTAATATATCTCACAGATTGACTTWTATTTTCAATAAAAAGTTCACAAACAGAACTGGAGTTCACATATTCCGCATCTAGGGACTTGAATCGTTTTGGTCCGATGTGGGTAAGTTTTTTTCATAAGGTTACACACCCCAAAGGCACTTATCGTGCAAAGTTTCAAAGTGTCTATATTTGTATATTGGAATTTTTAAGCAATTGAAAAGTAAAGCCCTCTTCCGACGCGCTAAGAACAAACTAAAAATCCTTCATAATTTCCGTCCTGATATATGGTGCGGATGCATGTACAATAACATTATCTAATGATTCGSTCTATAAGCGTTCGAGAGAAAGTTCTTTGTAAATTGACAACAACGAGTACCGATGTCGATGGAACGATACATTTACATTCGATAGATATACATCAACATTTACATAATTTAGCGAATCAAGAGAAGATGGATGAGAACGCTCCAGCTTTGAAAGTTTTCAGTTCAGTACCCGCCGGCCGAAGCTGAAGAAGAGAAGAGCTCCACTTCGTTGGAGAGATCAGGTGGAGAAGGACTAGGCTGCACTTGGTATCTCCAATTGGCAAAAAATAGTGAAAGAAAGAAACGGCCGCTATAACCGAGTAAGCGATGTCTATGCCAGTAAAGAAGAGAAGGAATCATATGTAATTTAAAATTTTGTTATATAAGTAGTCGTGGCTGTAGTTCGCTTTCCTCTATTATCAGACTGTAGCATATTAATAACAGAAAAWTTTTGTTGAAATCGGTCGAACAGGTCCCGAYGTGATTTTACGTAAAAGTAGTTGAACTCATGCACATTGTTCAGATTTGATACCGGCTCTTATAAAGCCTTCTCACACCAACTTGAGTGTACAAATATAATGTTTCTGGCGTAGTTATTTATTGATTTATCATTGTTAGCGGTTTTTAAGAAAACCGTTACCATGGGWAGTGGCAATTTAGCGATTAATGACATTTTATGGTCTTGACAGCGGTTCRATCACGCCCACARCTTGCTCGGACGACAGAAGGCCCGACAGACAGCCACCGGATTTCCACAGATATCATATGTCCTGACACTACATTCAATCACGGACCCTTTGTTTTTTCGCTTCATTGTTTTAGTATGAACTGTCGTGCAAAACGAGGAAATTGTATGTGAATGGGCGTTTAAGTTTGTTAAAATTTTAATTTTAAAATAAAATCTTTTTTAATTCTTTATTATATGTATGCTTGGGATTAAATTTTTCGGGATTACAAATTGAAAAAAACAATTGAAATTCAGCAATTCGTTAAGCAATATTTGCAACTCTGTTATGAACATACATATGGTCATGTGCAAATGCTTACCTTATTACGTTAGCAGTTGCGGGCAAAATGTTTATTTTAAAATGTATATATTAATTTAATGTTTATAAACGTTATTAAAACTACGAAATTGTTTAAAAAATATGTTTATTGAGTCATCTGCAGTACAGGTGTTATTTAATTTTTTACACATAAACGAAAAATAGTAAAAAAGGGATAAAATTAAATAAATCGGCTCATAAGAACAAAAAAAAAAATTTAAACAAACGAAATAAAATAACTTTCGTTGGAAAAAATAAAGCAATAAATTCGTTTCAATCAGTAATTTTAAGTTTGTGTCTTGAATCTTTAGTGTTTTAATTATTTTATTTCAATTTATAATTATTTAATATAAATGTGTATATAAATCAGTCTTCATAATGGCTTGTATATATTACTGGAGTGCTGTTGTTTTCGATCATTTGAAATAAACTTTCACATAAGTACATTTTTGGTAAGAAATTTTTAGTCAGAAGTTTAGTCAACTATTTTTTTTTATGAAAAAATCGATATTATTTAATCGAGTAAACTTTACAAAATGATCTGCTTTCAACTAAATTTTTTTTCTATCTTTGCACTTCTTTGTTTTATGTCATCGCGTTTGTGTGCATTCGCTTTAAGAATATTTGGTCTATATGTTTTATTTCCTAAGAGCTTTCTAACAAAGCAATTGTTGGCAATTACAGCATTTGTTGCGTTTTCAACGTTTATTAAAATTTGTGTTTTCTGTTCTTTAAGTATTTTTTCTTTGTCAGTTTTAATAGAAGCTTTGCGCTTTATTATAATTTTTTTGTACTGCATTTGATAAATTTATTGTTTGCATATTTCAATATTAAAATCAGTCTTTCACTATATACTTAGTTGATATTTCCTTTTTATTAGCTTATTCGCCAAAACATTTTTCGCAGAGAACAATTGTCAGACATTCTGTATATATTGCAGCCGAAATTAGTTGCTTCGTTTCTTATATCTTCTTAGTTAAGATTTTGCTTGTAATTGCAAGCGTGTTGCAGAAATGTCTTTTCAGATTTTATATTCAGACAACCATTACTATTGAGTTGTTTTGTTATGAATATTTTAGTAACAATAGCACGCTGTTATAATTTCTCATATGTATATTTTCTTTCTTAATTTTTTATTTAATTCATATTGTTTATCTATTGCACTTATCTAATGCCTTGGTTATTTTTTTTTTTTTTGATCAAAAAATCATAAATTTGTAATAATAAATCAATGAGATACAAACAGAAACAGTTGTAAACTATATATTGGTATAATTTTAACAAAAATTAAACAAGTTTAACAAAACATATAGATATGTATGTATGTAATTCAAAGGAATTTAAAATTTACCATTCCTTGGTTTATCCATTTTTGAATTCTTTCTTGCATCCGGGTTGAGCAAATCTTTTATTTTCTGTTTTTAATTATTTTTTTTCTTTGTTTCGTTTATGGTAAAACTTTTTTATATCACTTATAACGCCTTTCAGCCTGTAAAGCAGAGAACTAAACTAAGAAGTTATTTTTCTTATATGTATGTTTGTAGGTAGGGAGCAGTGACTTTGGGCATTGCGCACTTCAATTAATCACAATAATATCACAGTTTGTTATTTGCACTTACCATTCTTCACTTTCTATTAGTTAAGTAGATTTCTTTAATATATATTCCATAATTTTCGTTAAAAAAAATGTACAGATCGTGTAAACGTTTCGTGAATTATTAACAGTAAAAAAAATACGTTTGGTACGCTGTATGTATGGATCATTTCAAGGTAATTTTCTGAGATAGTGTTCTGATATTTTCAAAAATTCAATTACATCATTAATAAATTTCGGTTTCTTCGCTGCATATTTTAAATGGAACAGTACATTTTTATGTATGCCCATTTTTGATTTCAACAAATGAAAAAATGTCTAATTCAATAGAGATTTTGCAATTTTACGATTTTAACACGAATAGTTCTGAAATAACATGTTACAAGTAGTTTAAGTCGACTTAGACTAAGGTMAATTTTTTGATCTCTAATAAAAATTAAGTATTTTCAATACATATATTTCAACATAATTCGTAGCTTTCAACTTCGAGTCGCGAATTAAGTGAATTGGTATAACTTTAATTTTCGCCATTAAATAAAGCCGACTTAGGCTACTTTCACCTACTGTTGATTTAATTAATATTGGTATAGGTTTMATTCTCGGGGTATACTTTTCCACTGTGTTCAAATGGATTGTCCTTGATTTTGTTATTATTTTTTTTTTTTTGATATTTTTAACACATGTTTTCAGTTTAGTTCAGGCTCTAATCGCATATTTAGCTAATATGAAATTTCCAGCAGCAATTAATATTTGCAAAACATCAACGTTATCGCTGAACATGCTTTTTATGATACATATTAACGCTGAAACACACTGTGTTTCTAATTGTTTTGAGTATTTATAAAATACATATTTTCACAAATTCGATTAAGATGTTTAATACTGAATTTATATAATAATCATATTCTTCACAATCTGTTTTTAACTTAAATTGACTTTAGAGCACTTTTTTCGAATTTTTTGTAGCTTATGTATTACTTATGAAAACTTCCAATTTGAAAATATTGAATGTTTCTTCATWTTTCATCATGCTCCTTTGTCATATCTTGTGATGGCAACGTATAATTATTGAGATAATTATATCATTMGATTTTTAGCAACACCAAGATATGAAATTATATTTAAATAAAAATATTATAAAAAAAATAAATATGTTTGTACGACCAGATAATTAGACTCGGTGATGCCTTAAATTATACTGTAAAACAGTTCTTCTTTGACCAATTTGAGGGTTAAGGAGGTATCCGTGGTCTAACAGTGGTGGCTCGATTTTTGTCATCAGTTGTATAAAAGTTTTCTTTTGTTGTTCCAAGGATTGTAATTTTACAAAAGTTTTTTGATTAGTCYAGATCTGGATTGCAAATCTTCTACTTCAAAATTGTTAATCTCAAAATCGAAAATTTTCCTATATGTGATTTGAAATTAGATTTTAAATTTTT